TGCTTTTAAAGTTGTAGCAACATTTCGGCAGAATCTCATCTGCCATCATTAGGCTTCTGTATTATGTTCGTCTACAGAAGCCTGATGATGGCAGATGAGATTCTGCCGAAATGTAGCTACAACTTTAAAAGCACAACTATAATGATGAGGGAAATTACCCGAACAAAGCTGAATACCATACATGTAAGTACCTGCGAAAACTTAAGAAAACACACACACACACATATGTATGTATGTATGTATGTATGTATGTATGGTATTCAGCTTTGTTCGGGTATTTTCCCACATCATTATAGTTGTGCTTTTAAAGTTACAGCGAGGTTTCGGCAGAATCTCATCTGCCATCATCAGGCTTGTGTATTGTGTTCATCTGTGAGTCAGGCTTTCACAGATGAACACAATACACAAGCCTGATGATGACAGATGAGATTCTGCCGAAATGTTGCTACAACTTTAAAAGCACAATTATAATGACGTGGGAAAATACCCGAACAAAGCTGAATAACATGCATATAAATACCCACGAAAACTTAAGAATATATATATATTTATTATTGACTTACTGATTTTTGGTACTAATTGTATTGTATTATATTGGCTATTGTAGATAATTAGGATATTGACTATATTATTGGGATAAAGTACTTAGTATAAATCAATTACCGATATATAATTATTTAGAGTTAAGTAAATAATATATAGTTAAGACTAATGAATACAATATAGAAGATATAATAATATAGATTCTTGGACTTTAAAGTAAAGGATTATTATATACTATATTTAATTATTATATATTATACTCCATATATTAACAGCAGCAAGGCTTGCCTTTGCCCAAAATTGGAAATGTGAAAATATTCCCTTCAACTTCATGATTATAAAGAAAACTTCGGAATGTGCAGAAATGGACAGGTTGTCAGTGGAACTTAAAAACAAAGAGGAGTCAGAGTACTATGAGATCTGGAATTCTTGGTACAGTTGGTTGGAAGGTAGACATGAAAGGAATAAAACAAAGTCAAATAAAAAGATATGATAATTAGATGAAACTTTGTGTTATATATTAATGTAATAAGTGTGATTGATTATTCTATATAATTTGAGAGATGTCAGATTGAGTGAACACTGTTTTGCTTACATTGCGATAAGCGGAATGTTTGGTTTTATTGTATTTGTATAAATTTGTTTAATAAAGTATTAAAAAAAAAGAAAATAGAAAGAAAATATAATGCAAAAGTAGAAGCTTTGAAGTGTAATTTTAAATAATGTATTTATATATATTTATGTATACATACATATATATATATACATACACATACATATACACATATATATGTATGTGTGTGTGTGTGTGTATGTGTAACTTTAGAAAAATGGTATAACTGATGTCACAAATAACTGCAAAAATATATATAGAATTTGTTTTTTAAAGATGAAAATTTAATAAACTTTATTTAAAAAATATTTTTTCCACAGAATTTTGAGCCAAGATGATATACCAAACAAAATTAAATAGGAAAAACTACATTATCATATAATGTTTGATTTATTGATTTTTAAATCAAGCTGATTTCTTGATGGAAAAACCCTATTATTTTGTTTAATGTTCATTTTCACCAGGATCATTTTCTGCAAATCTTTAATTTATCTTTAGCTGAAGAAAAATCACCAAGAAATATAGCAAAAACTGCAGACTTGAATCCTAAGCTTCTTAATATACTCTACTGTTGCTTTTACCTAACATGTTCCTACTTCTTAACTGTCCCCTCTAACTGCTGCCAATGTTTTTGAAACAGTGACTTAGGAGAAAATTAAAATAATTGTCACTGTATCTACATACACACTTGACAATTTAATATATATAGGAAAATATTTAATAAAAATATTGTTTAATAGTTAAGAAGAGATGAACTGGCATAATGCATTGAGGGGGATTAATACTGTAAATCAGCGGTCGCCAACTGGTGGGCCATGGAAAATTTTTGGTGGGCTGCAGAAGAAATGGCCCCGAAAAGCAATTAATCTAGGCTGCGCAGTTCTCTCACCTCCTGGGTCTTCGAGAGACCCCGGAGTCAGGTCCCTGAGATGCACACACCAACCAGCTCCCACACACAGTGGCGGTGGCGGCAACAACAGTCCCCACCCCCAGCACCCACTGTTAGCTCTTCCCATTAGTTCTCTAGCTTTGAATTGCTCCTGCCTCTCTTTCCTTCCACCTCCCCTCCACGTGCAGGCAGGCAGGGAAAGGGAGATGGAGCCATGTGCAGTTCTCTACTTTTCCAGCGCTCACTGCCTCTCCCATCATCAAAGCCTCGAGATGCAGGCAAAGCTGCCACAGCAGTAGCGTCCTGAGTTGCCCTACCATGCTTGGTTAGTTAAGAATCACCCTATCCAGAGAAGGAGGTGCTGGAGGAGGAGGAGGCTGCAGTAGTGGAGAAACAAGCAACTCGGGGCTTTACCTGTGTTTCCGAGGTTTCGATGTTGGGAGAGACAGCGAGGGCTGGAAAAGCGGACAGCTGCACATGGCTCCGTCTCCCTTTACTTTCCTGCCTGCACGTGGGCGCGGGAGGGGGAGGAAAGAGAGAGAGCCAGGAGCAATTCAAAGCTAGAGAACTAATGGGGAAAGCTGACAGCAGGTGCTGGGGGAGAGGACTGTTGTTGCCGCCGCTGTGTGTGGGAGCATGCATCTCAGGGACCTGAGCCGGGAGGCGCGGGAACTGCATTTGGTGGTTTTTAAGATCTCCTGGAACAGGGTAGATTGGTGTTTTGTAGGTCTCGGAGAAAGAGTGAGTTTTATTTCACCCCCTTTCCTTCCCTGGTAACGCAAGAGATGCTTTCTCTCCCCCCTTCCCCCTCCCCCAAATAATCACTGGCTGTGCCTGGGTTTGGCAGTGAAATGCTTAAAAAAAA